ACTTACAGTGACAATGTGGGAAGGAATTGAACAGGGTATGGTACAAAAAGTCAAGGCACACCTTGTTGTAGCATTGAGTGGAACGCTTTAAAACCTCTGCGGGCAGGAACCCTTCAGCTCAGCTTTAATAAAATGACCATTTTTACAAGGAGGGACAGAATAGCCAGCATTCAATATCTCCTATGGGCAGAAACTTTATTCACTTCAACTTGAAATTCATGTAAATTTGAAATGCAGATCACATGAGGGAAATCGTTCTGCCTAAAATCAGAGCTGTGCTTCATCGGGACTTGATTCAGTAAACCTCCACCAAGCACGAACATGCCAGCCTCTGCAGAAGAGGCAGGCTGACGACACGCGCAGGGATCACTGGTTTATTTTTTTTAATGCATTTGATGGGAGGGGGTGGAGGAGCAGGATAGTAGCAGGAGAAGCCAGGAGTGGTTGCTCTGGTCAGTTTACCGTCCATCTGAGAGTTTTGGAAAAGATCTGGCGCATCACAAAACACCTCACTATTTCAAGTCAGTTTGAGGAGAAAAGGGCGAGGAAAACCGATGCAGTTCCTTCTATCTCATGAAGTTTCCTCCTCCAATTTCCCTCTTGTACCTGTTGGTGAGGTGGTCTGCCTGCATGGTCAGCTTGGAGAGCACGCCAAACAGTCCCCTGAGGTGATAATGAAACTGATGCTGCAGGTCAGCGTTGTCATCCACGTGCACGTCTCCCTTCACCGCCTGCTGCTCTTCCTGCTTCACCGCCATCTCCAGGAAGCTGGCACCGCTGCTCACCTCCCTCTTCAGCAGACCCCACTCCATGTCGTTCTTTATGGACTTGAGCAGCAGGTAATGCTCATACATCTCCCTCTGCTTGTTGCTGCACGGCGGTTCATTGTTGTTGTTAGCCTGCTGCTCGTCCAGCGGCATGTCTCGCAGCAGGCTCGGCACCATGATGGTCTCGTCCATGTTGTTGGTGGCCGCTATGAAGCGGTGCATGACGTTAATGAGGGAGTGCTTGTTGCCGACGGAGTCGCTGCTGATCTGCATCATTTTGAAGGCTGT